CAACGACCATCATGGATTCGGCCTAATCTGAGCTTAAAGTGCATGCAACATCAAATTTTTGTAATATGAATGCATTTTTGTAAAGATGACATATTGCAAACACACACACACACACACACACACACACACACACACAAACACACACACACACACTGCACCACTGAGATGAACAGTTGTGGACCTGATCAACTCTATGTGAAGGAGATGTGTTGCAATGCATGAGGCAAACGGTGGTCACACTGGTTGACTTTAAAACCCCACCCACTACCAGTAAACTGCCTATTTTAGAGTGGCCTTTTATTGTGGTCAGCCAAATGTGCACCTGTGCAATAATCATGCCGTCTCATCAGTATCTTGATCGGCCACACCTGCGAGGTGCAGGGATTATCTCGACAAAGGAGAAGCGCTCACCAACACAGACCGGCACAAATTAGTGAACAATATTTGAGAGAAAATGTCTTTGATCTTTGAGCTCAGCTCGTGAAAGACGGGAGCAAAAACAAAAGTGTTGCCTTTATCTTTGTGTTCAGTGTATGTACGTAGCAAAATGGGTAAAATTGTGTGTATTATGCCAAACTTCTTAAATATAAACATGTTTTCTTTAACTTTTTTAAAACTTGTAGGTGATTTAGTCAAAGGAACGTTGACTAACTGCTGTTTTTTTTTTTTTTAAACAGCTGAGATGATGGCCAGTCAGTCTGTCCAAACCCTGAAAGAGGTTTTGAGGAAAGATCTTGCAGGTGAGACCGTCATGGTTTTAAAAAGTCCAGACTAAACTTTGGTTACCAGCGCTGCGTAACCTTGGTTCTCTGAAAACTCAGTGAGGTATCTCACTATGGGAAGCACCTTCAGGCGGGACCGGTCATGGAAGCTCCAATACCACCAAGTCTGTCACTGACAGACCAATCCCGTGCTTGCAATGACCTCTCTTTATATGTGCCCCTGCTCTACACGCGACATTCTCACATCTCTTCCACATGGTCATGAAAGTAGTGCTGCGTTGTGAGATGCCTCACTCAGTTTTCAGAGAACCAAGACTACACTGGTAACACAAGCTTTCTTTCAAACCTCTCTCAGGATCTCACTATGGGAGATAAAGCCAACTCCTGCATTGCATGTTCTGAAGTCTAACAGCCCCTTGACCTTAAAATCTGAAGGTCAACGACTCCAGTTCACTCTGATGGCTGGTGCAAATCTATGACCCCACACCAAGGACGGAGTGCTGATTACCTTTGCGGAAATCCTTGGACCTGTCCAAGTATATGTGTAACGCATGTACTGGCCAAAGCAGATTCAACCTCCTTTCATTCTCATCTGTGAATGTGAGAGGATGAAAGACCAGCAGCTCCAGTGAAGAGCATCTGTAAGACACTTCCCTATCCTTGAGTACAAAAGTCATACTGGGGTGCAGCACCACCTTCCTGTCACCTGGAGGAACTGCAATCAGGATGCATGCACAGACAGGCTGACGTGAGAGCCAGCAGCAGGACAGCTTTCAGTGACGGAACCCTTAAGTCTGCACACTCAATGTGCTCAAAAGACAGTCCTGTAAGGACTTCCAGGCAACAGGTAAGTCCCATGATGGAAGGGGGGCTTTGCTGCAGGACGCAGACAACGAGCGCCATTCATAAACTTCTTAATCAGAAGATGCTGCCCAACAGGAGCATCCATAAAAACTGGGAGTTAAGCGCTTCTCCAACTATGTGCACGGGAGAAACTGGGTTTGCTGTAACACTAAACTGTGGGAGTGGGACTTTGAGATTAATTTTATGCTCTGTTCCGCTTGGGACAGGGAGGGAGCTGCTGAACTGTCCCTTGTGCACTCAGGGCAGACCTCCATGAGTGCTGCCTGCTGATCATCTGCTGGCCATCGCAGCTTCTATGTTGACTGCCTCTTTTTCCCCACTGCGGGGTGAGATGAGCAGTTAAGGCCCTCGGCTGGAGCGGCCTCTACAGCGGCGCCTTACAAACGCTGGTGCGGTGCAGTTTTCCATGGGGAGGGAGAGGTTGAACGCCTCTTCTTGTTTTTTTCCTCAGGTCACTGGCTTGCTGCATAACAGTGACCACCTCTCCAAACAGCCTCAGATAGAACAGGGTGTCCATGACAGTCTATTTGTCCTGGTGTTAAAAGCTGGACACGTTGAGCCAATGTCTAAGTTGAGCCACAGCCCTGAACCGTCTCTGAAGACCTGGAGGACGAGGTTTGTAATGACAAAGATCTCCTCCCAAACTGTTGGACCTAGAATGCTGTTATCCAGAAGAGGACCCATCCTAAAATAGCTCAGCCTGATAGGAGAGTGACCACATTAAAGTTTAATTTGGACTGATCTGCACACCTGTAAATCTTCTGAGATATGGAGGCAGTGAAACGCTCCGTTTTGCCCGGGAGCACCAGTCCTGCGGTTGTCAAAGTAGAGCAGTGGTTGGGATGGAGATTAAAAACTAACTGCTCCAACACCAGGGGGTCTGCGAGCCCCAGAGCCTTGCTGTTAGCTATTTCTAACCCAGCGTAACCCTGGGTAGGCACCCTGTGGCGAAAAGGCTTCACCCAATACGACTTCATCTCCTTCACGCATACTGGGACAGTGGTCATGAACAGCTTCACTGGTACCCGACGACAGGAAAGGGGATAGGGGCAAGGCTAAAGCTGTCCCAGCCCTGCCCAACCCCCTGGACCAACTCAGGAAAGGGTCCCTAGTTCATGCAACAACTGCCGCTCTACGGCGCCGCTGATTTTACGTCGGCGTCTGCGGTTTTCAGAAGCCGACCCCTGTCTCTCTGAGACAGCGGCAAACTTGTCACCTAAGTCCAGTGGTGAAGACAGGTGTGTAATGGGGGATACGCTGGAGTCGGCCAGCTTCTCAACTTGGAAGACAAGGGTGGAGATGAAGACGGGGTTGACATGAATTTCTCCTCAAGAATGTGGTTGATGAGGATGCCATTCTTCCTCCTGCCCGGACAGCTATGACAAAGCTCAGTCATCTCTGGCGCTACGCAAGGTCAACCTCCATGAGGTGTTCAAGCGGGCCACAGCCCAACTGGCCACTGAGTGGCCTGCCTTGAAAGAAGACCGAGGCGAGGGACTTATCTGATGAAAAAACCCTGCCCTGTCAGAGGAACCCGCAGTAGCCATTTAGCTAGCAAGTAGCCTCGACAGTTAGCTGCCACAATAACACTGGAAAAAGATCTAAATTTTAAAAGGAGGTCCGCCACAACGCCAATAAGCCAACCACTGTACATTTCTTCTCAACAGAAAAATGAAATTACAAGTCCAAAACTTGGAAAACATGTTCAGGACAACCTTCACAGCTGAGTCAGCGAACAGTTAAATGAGTAATCCAGGTCATGAAGTTGAGGAGACCTACACCAGAGAACGTCAGGTGAAGGGCAGGAGTGATTGTAAAGTGTGGATGGAGCCCCGGTGCAAGCACGTGACTGGTCTGTCAGGAGCTTCCATGATCAATCACACCTAAAGACACGTCTCAGTGAGATGTCGAGCGAGGTTTGATGGAGAACATCTCAGTCTCAACATCACACGAACATCAACACATTTCTTCCACCTGGCTCCATGAAGACTTGGCTCTGATCTGTTCAAAGGTAAAAGATGCCTGATGTTTGAAGGAGACTGGGAGCTTCATGGAGGAAGTTGTTATTATTTCAACACCTATGGACTCTCCTGGAATGACAGCAGAGGTTTCTGCAGAGATCTTGGAGGAGACCTGGTGAAGATCTCCAGCAGAGAGGAGCAGGTATGAAACACTGCTGCAGGTTCATGTTCTCAGGTTTCAGCACATCTTCAGGTTTCTTCATCTCAGCACACAAAAGTCTCTGAGACATTCATGTTCGCAGGAGTTTCTGGTGAATAAACTGAGAGACTTGGATGATGAAGGGGACTTGTTCTGGATCGGACTCACAGACGTCAAAACAGAGAACACGTTTTCATGGGTGGACGGATCAGCTCTGAACCAAAGGTCTGCTTGTTGCTGAACGATTCTGGTGTAAATTACAGTCACTGAAGCTTATTAATGTGCTTTTTGTTTGTTTTTCTTAGTTTGAAGTTCTGGCATTATGAGGAACCGAACGACTGGAAAAACGACTGGGAAAATAAAATAGGAAAAGAAAACTGTGTGAGGATGGAGAAGAGAGAGAGCGCCGAGTATCTGAAGAGCTGGAATGATTTTAACTGCAAAGTTCCTTCCAGGAGCATCTGTGAGAAATCTGCAGCGTCCGAGCAGAGTTCATGTGTCTGAGTTCACGTGTCCGAGTTCACGTGTCCGAGTTCACGTGTCCGAGTTCACGTGTCCGAGTTCAGGTCAGTGTCAGTCCAGGATCCAGGAGCAGCTTTTAGGAACTGAATGTCACAAACGGTTAAAGCTTCTTCTAGTTTTCAGCTTTTTATCCATTTTGTGTTTTATTCTGTTTAGTCAGCTTTAGTTGTTCTTAATTCTCTGTCATGTGCAGCTTTGGATTCTTGATTCATGATTAAAGTTCCAGTTTCTGATCTTCATCCTCCGCCTCCTTCATCTTCCTCTCATCAAATGGGACACAGACTGCACTTTCACAGGAAATCAATTTTCTTCTTTGAAGGTTATTGTTTGTAAATCATAACCAGGAGGACGTGAGGAGAAATATCCCACGTTCCTCCTGCGTCGACTCATTTAAAGAGTTTTACTGATGGTTCCACTGATCCAACATTTATGAAATGAAAAGATGTTTGTTTCTGCAAATCTTCAGTTTTTAGTCCAAATAAATTAACGCTTGTAAACTGTAGAGAATATTTAACTGTTAATGCAACAATTTCTTTAACAATCAGATGAAACGGAATAAACTAGAAACAAAGTTATGATTTACACCAGGGGTGTCCAGACTTTTTCAGCCTGCAGCTCCTTTTAAAACGATCAAGTCAAATGATCTACCAGAGGAAACTTCTCTAACTTTATATTGTTTTTATAAAATTCCAACTGTCAGAGGAAACAACAGACGCGGCGTGATCTCTTTCTTTTAATAAATCTGCAGCCACTTCAAAATAAAACGACAGTTTTTGGTGTTAATTCAGTTTGTTCTAGAAAAATAAAGACTAACTGTTTTTTTAACTGAAAACATTCAGGCTGACTTTAATCAAATATAAAAAATTATGTTTGAAAATGTTTCGACTCAACTTTACATTCATGAAGACAAGATTATTCTAGAAACTGTTCATAGTAAAACAAATTCTTCCCTGATAATAAAAGTTTAATCAACAGAGGGTTCGAAGCGTCTTCGGCTGCTTCTACAGGTTTAGTGTTTATCGGTCGTTAGCAGCCGAAGGAGATCGTTTCTCACTTCTGCTGCTGGAGTCGGACGGCGAGGGTTCGAACGATCATCGCCTCCAACGTGGCGTCGTCCAGCGGCGTCATGGAGAACCACAGAGGGCTGCTGGGAAGGCAGTGGTGACCCGGCTGGAGGTAGAAGAGGTCGCTGCGGCGCCTCGCCGACTCCGAGCTGCAGACAGACAAACAAACAAACAGACAGACAAACAAACAAACAAACAAACAAACAGACAGACAGACAGACAAACAAACAAACAAACAGACAGACAGACAAACAAACAAACAGACAGACAGACAAACAAACAAACAAACAGACAGACAGACAAACAGACAGACAAACAAACAAACAAACAGACAGACAGACAAACAAACAAACAGACAGACAAACAAACAAACAAACAGACAGACAGACAAACAAACAAACAAACAGACAGACAGACAAACAAACAAACAAACAAACAGACAGACAAACAGACAAACAAACAAACAGACAGACAGACAGACAAACAAACAAACAGACAGACAGACAAACAGACAGACAAACAAACAAACAGACAGACAGACAAACGATTAGTTCAGACAAACAGAAACAACTGTTGGTTGGGTTTAACATTTTAACTTATTTTGTAGATTTTAATGAAGATTTTCTAAAAGTTTTGGTGATTGTTTAAATATTGACATTTAACTCGGATCCCAAACGAGGTGGTGAGTCGAGACAAATGCAACAAAAAACAGAAAACGATGATTCATGAATCTAAAACTCAATTTTAATCTCAAACTGAATTTATGTTGAAACTAAAACTACTAATAAAAATGAGGTCGTTCTCAATCTGACGGCAGCGACAAGTTCTTTCAGCTGGAGGAACATGTGGGCCGGGTCAGAACCAGCTGGAGGAACATGTGGTCCGGGTCAGAACCAGCTGGAGGAACATGTGGTCTGGGTCAGAACCAGCTGGAGGAACATGTGGGCCGGGTCAGAACCAGCTAGATGGAACATGTGGTCCGGGTCAGAACCAGCTGGAGGAACATGTGGTCCGGGTCAGAACCAGCTGGAGGAGCAGTCACAGAGGAGAACTATCAGCAGCTCAGTCAGAGACTGTTAGAAGTAAAGATGGGCAGAGGTTCAGCAGTCTGTCTGAAACTAGAGGAACTCTTTCAGATTAAAGGTCCTGAATAAAGACTTTAATCTCCATCATCTCCAGTTTATAATCTGAGCCACAGATTAGAAGAATCTGAAAAACACTGAGCTCAAAGGACAAGGCCCTCGGGGGCCCCTGCGGTAAAATCAGGTCTGGTTCTGTTCACATACAGTTCATCCACAGACGCTGCTCCATCAGACAAACAAGAATCCAGATGTGAACACCATCCAGAACCTCTGCCGTCTGCTCTGGACCAGAACTCTCTTTAAAGGGACTGAAGTGAAGTCCAGAACTGTTCTGTGGTCTGACAGGTCCAAATCTGAAGTTCTGTTTGGAAACCATGGACACCTTGTCCTCTTTACTAAAGACCAGAGGAACCATCCAGCCTGTCGCTCTGATGGTACGGGGGTGCATTAGTGCCTCTTGCATGGACAACTTACACATCTGGAAAGATTCCATCAATGAAGAAAAACATCTGTAGCTTTTAGAACATCTGCACCATCCAGGAGAAGATCCAGGACTGAAGGACCGCTAGAGTCCTCATCAGACCACAAGACAAAACATCCAGAAACTGGTCTCCTCAGGTCCTCCAAAACCTCCAACATCTGGTCTCCTCAGGTCCTCCAAAACCTCCAACATTTAAACATTTTTGTTGACTTTGTTCCACTGAGATTAAAAATATGTTTTTATACAATAACTGCATCCTGTTTTTATCTACGTCCTGTTTTTATTTACTTCCTGTTTATATTGACTTCCTGTTTATATTTACGTCCTGTTTATATTTACATCCTGCTTATATTTACGTCCTGTTTATATTTACATCCTGTTTATATTTGCATCCTGTTTATATTGACTTCCTGTTTATATTTACCTCCTGTTTGTATCCATGTCCTGTATTTATTTACATCCTGCTTTATTTACATCCTGTTTATATTTATATTCTGGTTTTATTTACATCCTGTTTATATTTATATTCTGGTTTTATTTACATCCTGTTTATATTTATATCCTGTTTTTATTTACTTCCTGTTTATATTTATATCCTGTTTTTATTTACTTCCTTTTTATATTCATGTCCTGTTTTTATTTACATCCTGCTTTTATTTACTTCTTGTTTTTATTTACTTCCTGTTTATATTCATGTCCTGTTTTTATTTACGTGTCCTTCGGACCTGTTCAGAACTGGGTCGACTGTGTGAGGATGTTCTCACCACTTGGACAGGTAGAACTCGTAGAACCTGACGGGACACCGCAGAGGGTTCTTCTTGTTCTCCTTCAACTTCAAGATGTTTAACTTGCGTTTCTTCGCTGGGACGCCGTCAGAGTCTGAAGAACAAAAGAAGATGTGATGTGTAGCAGTTTCTGTTCGGACCCCGTCCCGTTGGACCGGTCCCTGTGGTACCTGGCTGCTTGTGGTCTGAGGGCGTGGGGGGGTAGAAGCGCAGGGTGTTGGTCTTGGTGCCGTCCTCGTTGGTTCTGGAGTAGCGGACTACAGATGTGAAGGACAGCTGGCGGTGCTGCTCTATGGTGGTGAAGCCGAAGTGTTTGCAGAAGAAGAAGAGCAGGGTGTTGAGGAGCACGATGGGGGAGTACGCCCCCAGCTGCTTACACCCCCACAGGAACTCCTCCTTCACGCAGGAGCGGGCAGAACCTGCAGAGGAGGACAGAGAGCTGAATACGAGCCGAACGAGACCGAAAGAGGGAAAAACAACGTTCCCCCACCTGCAGCTGAGAGAGACCGTCTGAAGGGTCTCAGGATCTTCGTCATCTCCGAGGAGAACTTCTGGTAGCTCAGGTCACTGAAGACGTTCTCCAGACGACCGTTCTCAAACAAACACTACCAAAATAAACAAATCCGTTAACGAGCGATGGATTTAAACTCTGGATCAACAGTTCTCCAGAGTCTGTCCGAGTTCTGACGGTACCTGCTGGATGCAGAGGCAGAGGTAGAAGATGTGGTCCGGAGAAACTGGACGTCCTCGTTGCTGCGCCACCTCTCTGATGAAGAGGCAGAGTCCGACGTCCAGATCAGCCGAAGAACACGCCAGAAGATCTGCCTTCAGCGTCACAGCAGGAGCTGACAGAGACGAGGAAGTATTTAAGAATACTTTGACCTTTCGCTGTTTTTAGCATTTAGCTAGCCTTTTGTCATTTTGAACTACCGTGTAGCTGTTTTTAGCTCATCTTTGGCTGCTTTGTGCCAACAGTTTTTACTTTTAGGTCGGGTGAACCGTTGCTAGTTTTAATCTTTCATTTTTCATTTAGCCTTTATTTATCCAGGTCGTCTCGTTGAGCCACAAGAACTCATTTTCAAGAGAGACCTGTTTAGGAGCAGATGGGGGTTAAGGGCCTTGCTCAGGGGCCCAGAGTGGGGCGAATGAGGGTGGAGAAGGTGTGGGTGCTTCACCTACCCCACCCACATTTTGATGTTGACGGTACCGGGAGTTGAACCTGCGACTTAATCTTTTCTTATTGTTATTTAGTCTTATGCTGATTTTAGCTCTTAGCTATCCTTTTGCTATTTTAGTGCTTTTGATCGGTTAAGTTTAGCTAGCCTTTTAGCTTTAGCTACGTTAGGCTTTTAGCGTATCATTTTCTACTTTGAATGCCTTTTGGTGATTTTAGCTACCTTTATGCTACTTTTAGCTACCTTTATGCTACTTTTAGCTACCTTTATGCTACTTTTAGCTACCTTTTGTCATTTTAAGGTATCTTGTTGCTGCTTTAAGCTAGACTTGTACTGATTTTAGTTAATATTTTGCAATTTTTACTGCATTTTGCTACATTTAATTTGAGCTAGCTTTTTGCTACTTTAGGCTTTTAGCTTACCTTTAGCTACTTTGAGTGGCTTTTGCTGCTTTATAGATTTTTAGCTAGTCTTTATTTCCATTTTGAGCTATATTGTTGCTGCTCTTAACTAGCCTTTTGCTGACTTGCACTAGACTTTAGCTACTTTAGGTTTTTAGCTGACCTTTTGCTACTTTGAATGCTTTTTGCTACTTTAAGCTAACCTGTTGTCATTTTTAAGTATCATGTTGCTACTTTTAAATTTTAGCCAGCTTTTTAATACATTTACAGTTTAGCTTTTAGCTTCTCTTCTCGATTAGACTTAAAAAGCTCAGTTTTAGCGTCTTCGACAGATTTCGGCTGTCATTCAGCTGTGCTGGTTTTCTTAAGCTACTTGTTAAAAACTGATGAGAACAGACCAAAGTCTTACAGGAAATGTGACCCAGGTGGGACTGAGATCCTCTCCACTCGATCCAGCTCCTCCAGGCATTGACTCCTCTCTCACTGCTCAGCTCTTTCCTCCTCCGGGGAACCGTCTGTGGAGAACCTTCGGCTGACGCCTCCTCTTCGGCTACTTCAGTCGAACGCTGCAGCTTTTCTCTGTGTGTCAGCCCGGCCTTGTCCTGGTCACCTTGCACAGTTTGTTGTGACGGAGGAGGAGGACTTGATGAAGTCCTGTGGTTCTGAACCACCTGAGCAGGAGGAGCAGGAAGAGCAGGAGAAGCAGGAGGAGCAGGAGGAGGTGGGAGGTCAGGGAGGCGCTCCTCTGGGACGTTTGGATTAGAACCTTTAGGAGAGACTTTACGAGGTTGTGAATCAAAGAATAACTCCAGAATGGAGTCGAAGCCGAAGTTCTTCTGATTTTTTAAGTCCGTCTCGAACTCGTCCCTGTAGCTGCTGATGTTGTCTGAAAATCAAAAAGAAACAAAAATAATCCTCGACTTTTATAAAAACCCGGAGGAGCCGGACTTTACCGTAAAGAACCGGACTTCTTACCGATGAGGGCCAGAGAGCGTTGTGTTTCCTCTTCCTTCGTCTCTCCTCCGTCCTCCTCGCTGACGTTTCCCTCGCCTCCATCGTCTTCTTCTGCTTCCTCCTCGGGACTCTTTAATGTTTTCTCCTCCTCCTCCTCCTCCTTCTCCTCCTCTGCCGGCTCAGCGCAGCTCGGCTTCTCGGACAGAAACACCGGGACCGGCAGCTGCACGAACAACAAACAAGCTGTTTATTTTACAGTTTTCTGCAGCTTCAGTTTCCATCGGGTCGACTTCCGTACCGGAACAGACAGAGCCACGGGCACCGGCGTGTACTGGCTGTACATGTTCAAGGGGAGGGGCACGTAGACCGGAACTGGAACCGGAACGGGGATGAGCTTCTCACGGACCTTCCTTTTAAAACCCACTTCAAAGAGAAAACAGACTCTGGATGAATATTTAAACTACTCGGTCAGGAAAAGTATCTCACTGGGCTGCAGCCGTTACAGACTCAAGTTTATCCAGAAAATCTTACGGTGTCACTAAATTATGAGTCATTTGTAGCGACCAGATGTTGAAAATTATTTTTGTGTGATTCTGGGTCTCGGTCAGTTTGCTAAGCTCTGGAGATACGTCTGCCTAAAAACAAGCAGCAGGTTGAGCTTCCTCTACGAGCTGCTTCAACCCACAGAGTCTCTGCAGAAGGGTTGCCAGATAGAAAAAGATGAAATATTGTACCGCTGCTTTAAAATGATCACTGCTTTGACCTGAACTGTTGTACGGGCAGGTTGGGTCATACTGTAGAATCTAAGAAACTTTATTAATTGGATAATCTGTTTTATAATAAGGCCCAAGCAAATATGTCTTTTAACTTACAAGGACCTGCAGAGAATGTGTTCAACAGAACTTGTTTTTAACAGATTCTGAGATGTGCTTGAAGTGGACCTAAGAGTGCTTGTTTATCTGGATCTAAAAGTACCAGGAATTTCTGGGCGCAAGATCAAGTGTTTATATAAGACTGTTTCCCAGCAGAACTGTTTTTATCAACTAAAGTGTTACAAATGACTTGTCAGACTGACCTGAAAAGAATGCGCTCATAGGAAAATCATTGTGTACCGTCAGAGACTCCGGAAAACTTCTGGCAAGCTCATGTTCGTGTGCTGTTTCAGAAGTGTATAAAACTCTGATAACGTCCCCATCAGAAGGGGTTCTGTCTTTGAGGTCTCCAAGTATTTTGGCTGTTCCACCTTAGAGATAAAGCTTCAAAATAAAATCCCCATTTTGCTGTCAATCGGAATCAAGGTGTCTCCTGTTTTAGTTAATGAACCCAAAAGTATTTCATGTAAGATTAGCCACTACAATATCTCTCCAGTTTTAACTTCTCTCCACTGGCTCCCTGTCAAATCCAGATTTAATTATCCTCATCCTTAGATAGAGAACTTTACTAATTAGCTTTTATGTATGTGAATGTTTCTGTAATGTGCCCTGAGACAACTTTGTTGTGATTTGGCGCTATATAAATAAACTGAATTGAAATGAAATTCAAAATCCTACTTCTAACCTACAAAGCTCTCAACAACCTAGCTCCATCTTTTATTATAGAGTTGTTCCATATTTTCCTAACAGAGCACTTCACTCTCAGACTGCAGGTTTACTTGTGGTTCCTAGAGTTTCCAAAAGCAGAATGTGAGGAACTTCTTTCAGTTCTCAGGCTCCTCTCTTGTGGAACCACCAGTTTCTGTCCATGAGGCCGACACATTGTCCAGTTTTAAGACTGGGCTTCAGAACAAACAAGGACCAGTTTCTTTAAGTGAGAAACATTTCGTCCCCCATCCGAAGGACTTCTTCAGTCTCTGTGGCCTGCCAACCAGATCTGTTCCATTAGGCTTAAGACTTTTCTTTTTGATAAATCCTATAGTTAAGGTCGGCTTGGGATTCCTGAGCTGTCCCTTAGTTCTGCTGCTATAGGCTTAGACTGCTGGAGGACAAACTGACCATATTTCCTCAAATGAATAGTTTGTACTTGTAATTATTTCTATTTGAACATGTTTTTTGTTTTTCCTCCTATAGAAAGTTCACCTGGACCTGTCATTCTGTGTTTGTTTCTACTTCCTGTCCTCTCTGTTTCTACTTCCTGTCCTCTCTGTTTCTACTTCCTGTCCTCTCAAACCCAGCCGGTCGAAGTAGATGGCCGCTTGTCCTGAGCCTGGTTTCTTCCTGTTAAAATGAGTTTTTTCTTTCCACTGTCTCCTCTGTGCTCGCTCAGGATGAGACTGTGACGAAGTGAAGGTTCAACACAATCTGCTGCTTCCTCAGATGGAGAACTTTTACCGATTGTCTTTTTATGTGAATGTTTCTGTTCAGTGCTCAGACTTCTGTTGTGACTTGGAGCTGCAGAAATAAACTGAATTGAATTGGGTGGCAAGACTGGTGAACGTGCACACAGGAAGGAGTGGCTTGGAAAGTGCACGGTCTCGTTTGTCACAACAGATGATGATTTGTAGGCGTTCACGTAAAATAAACACGTTGTTGGAATGGAAATGCCAAAATAAGAAAGGATTCGGGCCGCGGTGAATTTTTTCCTCAGATTTCTGAGATTCAGCAGAATTCTGAAAGAGAAATATTTTTCCAGCGTGACTCGTCCTCTTCCGTACAAAACGATCATACATTTGGTCTTTTAAAAACTATTTCACAGATTTTGTAAATCGTTCGGTCCACTGGCATCAAGTCTGTTTTAGAACGGACTTTAAACTTCGATCGTTCACTTTTAAAGCTCTTAACGATCTCGCTCCACCGTGTTCAGCTGATGTAGCTGCTTCCTGTTTGAGAGGACCTTAAGGTCAGCGAGAACATCTTTACTGTTTGACCCATGATGTTGAGGACTGGGCCTCTTGGGTTGCTGCACCCAGACTGAAGAACCAGCTTCCTCATGACCGACCTGGACCCTTTAAATCTAATCTCAAACATTTTTATTCCTAGTGGCTCTCTGACGTTTTGGATTCTTCTTCTGTGTTTTGAACTTCTGTCCTGTGAAGCACTTCGTGCACCTTTTGGTTGTTGCAAAGAGCTCTAGAAATAAATGTTGATCGACGCTGAAACTATCGTTTAACGTCAATAACTATCGTACATGTGGACACTGGCCCGTGCACATTTACACCACAGGAGTTAACGAATAATTACGGCTGAGTCTGTTTTTGTTAAATGTTCAAAATTCAGGAAGAACCTCTGCAGATGTTTCAGGATGGTGGAAGGTCCACCATCAGCCGCAGCCCAGTGAGAGTCCGGTTTAACTCGGGTCAAAGGCTACATTTAGTCCAGTCCAGTTCAAGCGTGCTGTAAACTGACCTGTCTGTGCTGCAGCTTCTGACGTCTGCACCGAGCAGGACACGCCTTTGTTGTGGACCAGAGGAACGCAGAGCATCGACTTGTTCTTCAGCTGTTTGGGCTCCGTCTGAACGCTGGCCTGAAGAATGAAGAAGAGAACAGTCGATCCAAACGCGCTCGTCTGAAGGCAGGCTGGACATGTAAACAAGCAGAGTTTTATTTACAGCTTTCAGTTCAGCCGTAGCATTTTGATTTAGCACCCTTTTGATTTAGCTACTTAAAGCTAGTCTAGCTTTTATCACCTCTGCCATTTGCTCCTTTAGCTTTAACCTACCCCTTTTGCTCTTAGCTTCTAGCTACTGTTGTGCTGCTTTTAGTTTTTAGCTACTGTTCTGCTGCTCTTAGCTTCTAGCTACTGTTCTGCTGCTCTTAGCTTCTAGTTACTGTTCTGCTGCTCTTAGCTTCTAGCTACTGTTCTGCTGCTTTTAGTTTCTAGTTATTGTTTTGCTGCTCTTAGCTTCTAGCTACTGTTCTGCTACTCTTAGCTTCTAGCTACTGTTCTGCTGCTCTTAGCTTCTAGCTACTGTTCTGCTGCTCTTAGCTTCTAGCTACAGTTCTGCTGCTCTTAGCTTCTAGCTACTGTTCTGCTGCTGTTAGATACAGTTCTGTTGCTTCTAGTTTTTAGCTACTTCACTGCTTTTTTAGCTTCTAGTTGCAGTTTTTCTGCTTCTAGATTTAAGCTACTGTTCTCCTACTTAAGGTTTTAGCTACTGTTATGCTTTTAGCTTCTCTACCGTTCTGCTGCTGAGTTTCTGTGGAAAAGCACTTTGCACGATAAAGCTTCGTCTCTGTGAACTTACGTGTCCGACGACTTTAGTTTGAATATCAGAGAAAAGTCCTGAGGAGAGAAACGAAAGTTAAACCAGAAAACATTTTCTCTCTTTTATCATTAATCTGCTTTAAAACCAGATTTATTTTTCAAAACTCTTTCATCTTTTTGTAAGAACTTCATTCCAACGGTTCAGTGCAGCCACATATAAATGCAGTCTGAAAATAAAAACAGCTGAATAACAGCTGAACGTTTGTACCGAGACCGAGCTGTGAGGAGCTCCTCAGGGAGTTCAGGTGATTTCTCAGAGTGCTCGACAGCGAGACAACGTTTGTGAGCACAGGGGAGGCGTGGACGGCTCCTGCAGCTTCAGGAGGTGAAGAACCTGAAGGAGGAAACGGGGAGGAGTCAGCTTAAAGCAACAACTACCATGTTGCTGTTTTTAGCTCGTCTTTGGCTGTTTTGTACTAGCATTTTTTACTTTTAGGTCTAGCTAGCCTTTGCTAGTTTGAGATAGCCTTTTGCTACTTTTAGCTAATCTTATGCTGATTTTAGGTCTTGGCTATCCTTTTGCTTTTTAGTGCCTTATGCTACATTTGGGTACAGCTAGTCTTTGGATATTTTGAGCTAGTGGTTTGCTACTTAGGCTTTTAGCTTATCATTCGCTACTTCAAATGCATTTTTCTGATTTCAGCTATGTTTTTGCTACTTTTAGCTAGCCTTTTGTCAAATGTAGGTATCTTTTCATGCTTTAAGCTAGCCTTTTGCAGATTTGAGCTATGTTTTTGCTATTTTAGCTAGCATTTGGTCATATGAAGATATCTTATTGCTGCTTTAAGCTAGCATTTTTCTGATTCAAGCCATCTTTATGCTACTTTAAGCTAGCCTTTTGCTGATTTGAGCTATCTTTTTGCTATTTTAGCTAGCATTTGGTCATATGAAGATATCTTATTGCAGCTTTAAGCTAGCATTTTTCTGATTTAAGCCATCTTTATGCTACTTTAAGCTAGCCTTTTGCTGATTTGAGCTATCTTTTTGCTATTTTAGCTAGCATTTGGTCATATGACGGTATCTTGTTGCTGATTTAAGCTATCATTTTGTTATTCCTTTCGAAGGAGGAAACAATGAGGAGTCAGCGGAGCCTGAAGGATCTGACAAATGCTAAAATCCAGTCTGAGTAAACCAGAGCTGCAGAAATGTTCACTCAATGAACCAGGAAACAGCAAAAGTAGTTTTTTTTTATTCTTTATCGGCTCTTTGAAAAAGTTCAAGTTCAAGTTCAGTCTTTAAAAAACTTTTGGCAGAATCTAAATGTCTGGGTGTGAGTTCAATCAAAACGCACCGGCGTCGAGCAGCTCGTCCGTTCTGCTGCAGAAGTCAAGGAGACACTTCAGGTGGCAGAAATGTTTGACGTCTCCCGACAAAGGAAGACTCTCCGTCAGCCTTCCTCTTCGGCTGCACGAGTCACATTTCAGCAACTTAAAGAAAACATTAAATTAGTCATTTAGCATCGTCACCAACGTCTTACAACCCCTGAACCTGTAAAATTTAGGCTACGTAACAGGTTTATTTGAATAAACCTCTAAAATTCAACAATTCTTTCAAGTTTTCCACATAAATATTTTATTTTTATTCTCTAAATGAAGCAAAAGGTTCAAACAAAGCACTTTGAGGAGCTAAACTCTTAATTTTATTGTTATTTATTTCAAAGTTTTAACAAGATTTACAACTTTTGAGAGTCTTAAGATGTTGGACGTTCTCGTCGCAGCTGAACTGTAAAGAACGTGACGTGGCGCTGCACTCACGTCACTGAGCAGCAGGTCGTGTCTGGATCTGCACGATTCGGAGCAGAACTCCTCCTCGGCGCCTCCATCCTGAGCTGTGGACCTCCACACGGAGCGGCAGAAGGAACACGAGGAGAACGTCGTCTTCTGATTGAGGATGAAGAGCGCCGAGCAGCCTGGGAGGAGACAAACGGTAAAACGAGCGCACAGACACCCCCCCCCCCCCACTGAGGGACTCAGTGAATGTTTGCAGTTTTTGGAGAAAAGTGTTTTTCTTTGTCCGTTTGTTCGAGGAGGCGCAGAGTGACGGCTCCTGCAGAGTGACGGCTCCTGCAGAGTGACGGCTCCTGCAGAGTGACGGAGCTGTTTTGTCCCCACCAGGTGCAGAGGAGGAGCCAGTGGGGGAGCAATGGTGGCCTTAGCCCCCATAGATTATACTCTTTGCCCACCCCAATGATTTGATGAAACTTTTAAGCAATATATTTATGATGGCGGCCATTTTGGATTTTGACGTGGCAACCGAGTATTTGTCAGGAAGTTTTCTTATGCTCAGACGCACCCATACAGCAAAATGGAAATCAGCACCTACCGTATTTTTCGGACATTAAGGCGCACTTAAAATCCTTTAATTTTCTCAAAGCTCGACAGTGAGCCTTAGAATCAGGTGCGCCTCATGTGTTAATTCTGGTTGTGCTTACTGACCTTGAACTGATTTCATGTGGTTATTGTGAACGAGTTGAATAAAGTTCGACTTTTCTGTTTTTGCACCTTATGGACAGAAAAATACGGTAATTTATTTTTCAAGTTATCTTGCTCACATCGTGGACGGACAAAGGAGGTTATTTCCGGTTGCTCGTCTTTGCTCGGTGACAACAAATCGCTGTGGGACTCACCGGTGCTGCAGAAGCAGCAGTTCTTGGTGCCGATCCGCTTCACTTCATTGATCAGTTTGATGCTCCCGCAGTGTTCACACGAAGCCACGATGCTGTTGATCCGTTTAAAGTCCTGAGAGCAGGCTGAGCTGCAGACGTAAATCAGACGTTTCTGTGAAGACAAACAAAAAACATTTTTAAATCCTGACCCGAGTCAACGGGACTGTCCAGAACCACAAGCAGACCTCGTTCTGGATGACTTCAGGGATGGACGTTATGGCTTGTAGACACTGAGCACACAGGAGCTCTGGAGGTTTGTCAGAACCGTTCTGGGTTTGTGCGGTCGGGTTCGCCTGGGTCTCCTGCAGCCGAAGAAAAAAAAAAAAACAACAAAGTTTGACCTTCGGATGAAACAAGTCGCTCCGAGCAGCCGAGGGTTTGACTGTTTCAAACAGAAATGAGGTTTCTGGTGTGGAAACTGTTTCTTAGTCTGAAGACTTTCTTCTGAACACCGCGTCACGAGGGAGCTGTGACTTTAGCTCTTTTCAGAACCATTGTTCTCTTTACAGTCTGCTTCAACACACTTTACTGTTGTTTTTGCTTATTTTAGCTATTAACTAGCATTTCCTTACCTCTAGCTTTTAGCTTTCCTTTTGCTGCTTCTAGTTACTGTTCTCCTGATTTTAGCTTCTAGCTATTGTTTTCATGCCTTTAGCTACTAGCTTCTGTTCTCCTGATTTTAGCTTTTAGCTATTGTTTTCATGCCTTTAGCTACTAGCTTC